TCTTGTCCTGTCTTGTCCTGTCTTGTCCTGTCTTGTCCTGTCTTGTCTCTGACTGTCTGGCTGTCTGTCTGGCTGGCTGGCTGGTTGGCTGGCTGGTTGGCTGTTTGTCTGTGTCTGTGTGTGTGTGTGGTTTTTCTCTCTCTGTCTGTCTCTCTCTCTCTCTATCTATGCTTCTGTCTCCCTTTCTCTCCCTCGACTTTGTACTTCGCCAATGGTTTGTGCCGCATCGTCGTTGGGTCTGTATTGTCTTGCTGGCTGTTTTAGTAAGGGGCTGGCGAACAGTCAGTGAAGACAATTATTTAGCTGGCAGCTTTGAACGGTGCCGCAAGGTTAGCGGAAGTGGAACTTGTTTACTGTCATGACAACTGGGCCCCACATAGATATTGAACAATCTACCACATGTGAACACATAAAATAATGCAAGCCTTGTGTAAGGGCTAGCGGCTACTGTAAGAGTGGAGTTCTCGGAAAGAAGAGACAACACAATTTTGAACGCCTCTCGAATGAGGGGAGGTTGGAGGATGAGGTGTTGAATACCCTGTTGCAGGAAGGAGCAACACCGTGGACAAGTGACAGTGACCAAGTCGCAGTGACAACAGAAACAGCAAACAACATGACAGTGATGCTCCTCAAAGGGCTTCGGCGATAGCCCTTTTCCAAGCTAGAGTCGCCCCCGAGTAGTAAAATGTCAGACTGCCTCGCGCTGATGCACTTTCCAAAGGATTATGAGATGGATCGGCAAAAACACAAATGCAGTCGACGCAACATGAAATGTGATCCCAATGCCAAGGAAACAATTCAGTTGGAGCAGACATGTTTGTCTCAGGTGGCTGCATGTCTCTTTCTGGGGGCGGCGGCCTGTGGCTTTTTGTGGTCATGGTGGTCACCTCACGCCGAGGATTTTCTTCTCTTCTGCCATGTCATGCTAGTGAGGCAAAACCTGAGGGAACTGGAATTGTCGCATGGAGGTGTGGCACTGTGATCCTGTGGTCATGATGGGTCGTTGTGGTGTCGCAGGTACGGAAAGCGGCATTTCCGATAAATTTGCATCTTGGCAGGCCCTTTTCAATTGTTGTTTGAGAGATTGCTCATAGGAACCAATGCTCAATGCAGGATTGGGGCGGCTTTGAACCTGTGAAGACTTTGCACCAGGCTCACTTTTGAAGCTAATTAAATCTGTGGTTATGGAAAAAGCATCAAGAGCGACCGAAAAAACAAACAGCCGCTCACGTTGTTCCTTGAGCCAAACGCAGGTCGTTTTGACCATGGGTTCACCTTCTTCAGGTGTTCAAGACCTTCATGAAAAAAGGTATGCTTTGGGTTGTGCTTTTCCATTCACACTCCCCCTATGCTGAGTCCTCAGCATACCTGTCACGGAGATCCACAGTAGGTTTTTTCGTCTACTGCTTCACTCAAAAGTTCAAAGCTTCCAGCCGATCTTGAGTCCTCGCTGTCGTGGCTCAGACCCGGCGGGCACACAATTGTCGTCTCAATGCCCATCCAAGGGCAAATCATCAGCCTCTGGCGGACTTAACCGCTCACTTTGCAGCGAAACCTCATTTGGATCTCCAGTCATCGAAGAGGCAGGTGCCCCAATTTCTCCCCTTTGCAAGCATCCAAGGCGCCTCGCCCCATAGCCACTCGCCGGGACACCCTCCAAGCCCACATTGTCTCGTGCATCGATTGCGGTGCCATCATAGGCCCTAGGCACTCTCCGAAATGAGGTGCCGGTCAAAGCTTCCACAGCCTTTCGACCCCTCTCCACAGCATGCGAAGAGAAGCCATCAGCATTTCCGTACCCTTCATGGGCACGAGAATCTTTGCCACCTGGACGAAGTGGCAGCTGGGCATGCGAAGACTGGGGACCCCCACCCTCCTGGATGTCATTCTCAGGCCCAAACTTCACATAGAAGAACGTGTAGCCACACCACTCATAGCATCCTTTCAAATCTGAATTTCGATTCTCCACCCAGTCATCGATGGAGAGCTTTCGAACCCAAGCCTCACGTGTGCTCCCCCGGCTGAAGGCCACAGTGATTCGGGTCGGTGAGAGACGTCCAATGGCCATCGGAGTCCCCCTCTGAAGCGGGTGAAATTGGCGCACCCTGGGCTTCTTCAAAACCCTCCACCATTCGCCGCTGGCGGAGCCACATCCCAGGCACTCCCAACGGTCGTTTCCGGTGGGTGGTGTCATGAATCCTGCCAGCTCCCAAGGCTCATCAGTTCCTAAGCCCATGTTTGGGTGGAGCTTTCGGTGGAGGCGCCTTCATGGCGCACAAGCGCATCTTGCCATGGCTTCGAAGCGAGCTTAAGCTCTTCGCGGCCGAGAGGGTGCCGGTGCGGCAAGGGTCGATCGAAGTCGAGCGAACGATGTGCGGGGATGACCTGTTTTCATGGTTCATGCTATTCCCGCTTCCGGTAGGGCCGGGTTCATTTTCCCTCGACCATCTTGTGTTAGGGCCGGGTTCATCTTCCCTCGACCATCTTGTTGTTTCTTTTGATTGGGATACGTTAGACCTCTTGGTTGACAGGCATTCTGCCGTCTTCGGACAATTTCTATGTACAAATGCTGTCAAGGCCGCAAGGCCACACACTGACGCAGCACGAACCGCAGTGCCCAAGCCCGGAGCCATCGCTAGCAGTCCCAACGCCACCGCTGCCCCAAGCGCCAACTTCTTCATACGAGACGGCGCAGGATCTTCGGGAGAAGCGTCAGTGATCACCGGAGCCAAGCCCACCGTAGCAGCAAATGCCTCCCAAGTCCGGGGCGTTGTAATTGCCTTCGTCAACAGGTCAGCGCATAGATCAGCACCAGGGATGTGCTCTGCATGCCACAGCTTCATCTGCAGCCTCTCCCTGAGAACATGGCTGCGGAGCCCACTAGGGGCATGCAGCAGCTGCAAACCTGACAGGTTGTCACCTCTCAAAACATAGGAGCCTTCTTGGGCCAGTGCATTCTGCTCGAGGACATTCACAATCGCCCCCACACTTTCTCCCAGATTCAAACCATCAACGTACCCCAGAAGTTCACATTCCGTTGTGCTCAGCGTTGCAAATGGCTGGGTCTTCGATTCCCAAGCCACCAAAGAGCCGCCCCAAAGGCGCACGATGCCCTGATGGCCCTTTCCACCTGTGGGTGCAAACGATGAGTCCGCCAACACCTCCAGCCTGGACATCGAACTTCGTCGGCCATAGGAATCCAGCTCCTCAGAACAGGGCTTGTAGGAGAGCGCGTAGTCGAGGGTTGTCATGAGGTACCCCACCACATGATGAGCCAGCCTGAGCACTCTCTTCGGGCATTTGGTTACCCTGGACCCCAAGTAGGAGACAGCGAAGCTTATATCCGGCCTGGTTCGTGTCGATAACCAGAGGAGCTCGCCAATGATGGTTTGGCATTTTCTCCCATCCTCCTGAAGAATTCCATCCTCCAGGTCCGCGTCATCCAACTTTGGGAGGGGTACTTGGCGAGGTTGAAGATCAGGATACCGACTAACAATCTCCCTGGTGTAGTCCGGCTGCCCAACCAACAAAACATTTCAATTCCACAAAATTTCAACCATTGGTTTTGTGTCACCCACTTTGGCTCTGCGCACTTCCACATGGTTGAGAATCTCTTCAGAAAGCGCTCTGCCGTCGGGCGGGGAGCCGTGATGATGAAGCCGTCGACGTAGGACAATCAATGCGTATCCAGCCGTTGAGCCATCATCCATCACATTCACAAACTCCTCACCTCCCAAAGCAGTCATGAGCCGCCACACATTGGGTTCCGGAGTGGGAACCACCCAGTTGTGCACACCATCTTCCCACCAACGCATATTCTGCAGGGCTTCATGCCGGTATGCTTGCCAATCAGAGAGGGAGACGTGTCCAGACCGTACACTGCTTTCTCGATCACCCAGCGAATGTCAGACTCGACGAGGCCAGCCTCCACTAGAATAGATGGTGGTTTTGTTACCATCAATCTGGATGACTTTCTAGGAGCGAGCAAAAACGCCGTGGAAACATCAGTGACCCCGATGGCCCATTTCTCTTGGGCCGCCTTCCGCAAGGTACACCTCAGAGACATTCCGTTGATGCCACTGGCGTATAGGTCGAAGCAGCTTCCCATGGGCTTCTGCTGAACAGGTTGACATGGTCTGTTCATGGCGTTTTGAAGTGTCCTCCACCAGGTTCCCGCATAGTACAATACGGGCCTTCTTTCGAGCATCAGGGGCCTTCACCGTTGGTACAACTTTCGACGGGACCACCAGCATCTCCTCATAGCCAGGCTCATTGATCAGATCCTTCACCTTCACCGGGCGAACCGCTGTAGTGGAAGTTTCCAAGGACGTCACTTCATTCTTGAGAGGTGGAATCCGGAAGATCTTTTCGAACCTGGGCCAGGGGAACAGTGTAGGTTTGCAACACTGAGTGTACAGCCTCCTGCTCTGGGAGTGATGAAGTGCTCTGTCCCATCGTGGCCAACTGGTAGCCCTCATCACAGTTCCTCAGCTCAGTCAGCCTGTCCTCCATCTCCAAGACCATCTTCTCCATACAGTCAAGGATGTTGCCCTGCATCGTTCCCTCTTCTTCACCAACAGCGACGTCCTTGACCAAATCTGACCACAGACGCTTCCAGCTCCAATGCTCCTCTTCCAATTGTGCTCAAAGGTTCAGTGCGTCCATGATGTCACATTCCACTCGCCCCTGCATCACATCACCGCATAGAGCTTTGAGTGGGGTTTCACAAAACTTGCACTGATTCACCTCCTTCTTACAGATCATATGCTCCCGTTGTTCACCACTGTTCATTGGCAGCACCTGCAAGCCACATTCACCGCACACCCAAGGTTCACGATGTGCGTCATAGTTCGTCTGTCGAACTTCCCCCCCAGACCAAACGAAGTGACGGGCTGGACCACTTTCCGCTGTATCATCCACGGATTGAAGAGCTCGAAGTTGTGGATCGTCACTCAACCTTGGCAAAGGAATCTGCGGCAGGCACGGCTCCAGTGGCTGATTGCTGGTAATCCGATGAGTTGGACTCGATGGATTGGGAACCTCCTGCAACTCCAGCACGGCCCGATCAGCCATAGGATCAGTGAGCACCACAACGCGTGCATGCTGAACTTGTTGACCCTCCCTCAACACATATAACCCTCCGTCATGAAAGATGATGGGCCCAGAATGGTCATCGTCCGGAAGGGCGGAATTAAAGGTCCGAATCCCGCTCTATGCCACCTTTTGGTTTTCACAGGGACACAGGCCCCGATCGGCATCGAAGGTGTGCACGGGACTCCAAGCCTGATGCATTGATGGCGAAGTCGTTCTTCGCCGACATAGCGAGCAACCCCAGGCCACAGCTCCTCACCAAGGCCTTGACCTGTTGAACTTCTGTTTCAATTCTCCCATGTGAAGGGCCTTCATCACCCCCCCGTCATAGTTTGGTAGAGACCAAAGCGCCGGCAGAAGGACTGGAACAATGTGGAGAAGAATGCGCACTCCCTGTCCGTGTGAACACGGATGATTCTCAGGCCCATAGCTTTGAACCGGCAGAACATCCTTGTGGCCACCTTGGTGACGTCGTGTTGGCCTCTGGACTCTAGGGGTTCCACCAATGTAACGTTTTGGACTCCCACAGGTGCGGCCAGATCTTCGATGTGCTTCTTCCAGCTTTCATTGAGAGCTGCTGCATCCTCTTGCGGAACTCGGTCTCTGTCCTCCACTACCGTCGCTACCTCCAACTGAGGCAGAATCTGTTCACCGTCTTCTTGGTCGGCGAGGTCATCCTCATCTCCTCGGTTGGCGAGATCATCATCATCTCCTCGGTCGGCAGGGTCATGTTCATCATCTTCACCTTGACGATCTTCATCTCCCCCCAAAACACGAGGCAACTTAGGAATGGCCACTGTTGCCACCATGATGTACTTTGACTTTGTGCCCAAGCCCACATCATCTCCCAATGGCATTGGCCCCAAAATGTCATAGGACAGGCAGTGAGCAGATCGATCTCCTGACGTCCTTCGGTGTGGCGCATCCACGCCCATCAGTTCCATGCATCGTCGACAGTCCCTCCTGTAGGGTTGATGTTGATTCTGCACATGGGTCTTCCAACTGTCCATGCTCATTCGTTTCACTTCATGTTCACAGTGCTGCGCAATCTCGCTCGCACCCCACCTGTGCTTATAGCCCAGGAGAAAGTTCCTCAAGCACTCCTTCACTGCTGCCACCAAGCCCGGTGCCCAGGCCGACCACTCCCTCGATTGAGCCAGTCTCCCAGTGAGCGATGTCGATTCTCCAGACAAACCATCCAGCTCCTTCAATTGAGGTAGGCTGGCCACCGTGCTTCCTTTTGACATGACCCATAGGTCCCTGATCCATAGCCAAGAAGGATGCCCCCATCAGCTCAGCTGCCTTCTTCACCTCCTTGAAGTTGCAGAAGCTCACCATCCTCCTTGGTAGCCTCTTTCGGCATGTAGTCCATTGGGTCTCTTGGCGACTCCATCGAGAATCCAGGCTCTGGTCGATCTCCACGATGTTCATCAGCGAGGAGCCAGAGACCAATCTGCTTCATCATCAAGGCGCAATCGCTCAGAGCCAGCTCCACGGAAGACAAGCCCTCCAGCATGAATCTACGGTCATCGCGACCCCTCAACGGGCGCGGACCGGGTGCACGGTGCCTCAACCGAGACACTGTACGGCAGGGTGGTCCACCCAGCACAGCGACAACCAGACCTCGTCGGGCCAGATGACATAGATACCCCCAGGTTCCAATGCCATGGAGGTCGAACTGTGTGCCCATTGTCACGTCCACATTCAAAATCTCAAAGCCACCCCAATCCGTCTTGGACCAACTCTTGTAGTCCTTCCCGGCAAAGAGGTTGATAATCACACCACGAGACGCCAGATGTCTTCGTCGCTGACGTCGATTCCAAGGACACGTACAGGCATCATAGCTGTCCTGGCCCTTCATGAACTCCCAAACCTCTGTAGGGACCTCAGGGAACCTCGATGACCACCATGATCGAACCTCATCATCCGTGAAGAGTTCCCCCCGATCCGCCTTCTCCATGACGCTGAGCAGCTCCAGCGCCTTGGCTTCAGGTAGCACAGGGCATCTCCCACGGAGGGCGCAGGTGGTCTCCTGGATCTCGCAGCTTGCCTCCATCTCGCGAGGCCCTTCGTCGGCGCATGGCAAATCCGCTCATGGGGACCAGCAACCTCCTCCAGAGGGTGGACTTCAAAGCGAAGACACAAAAAATCCTCTTGGGCTCATAACCTGTGGTTATGGAAAAAGCCTCAAGAGCGACCGAAAAAACAAACAGCCGCTCACGTTGTTCCTTGAGCCAAACGCAGGTCGTTTTGACCATGGGTTCACCTTCTTCAGGTGTTCAAGACCTTCATGAAAAAAGGTATGCTTTGGGTTGTGCTTTTCCATTCACAAAATCAATTAAGACTCTCAAGGCGGCTTTGTGTCGGACAGGCCCTTGAGATGGAGCGTAAAGCATGGCAGATGACGAGACAGGAGACCTGTAGTTGGGAGGCACTCCACGCATTCCGTGTACTGAGCCATGCGATGCGGCGCGCGTAATATCGTGTTGCGCTCGAGGCGGGAGATCCACCGCCCCAGCAGGGCAACCTGGTCACTGCCGGCATTTCTCTTGCGTTGTCATTTTCCTGCTTCACCAGGAGATTTGTGACCTGTTCCTTGCGCTGCTTGCATACTATACTCTGTCAATGTGGAGATAGAGTCTCCATTCATTCAGTGCTCGGATTCTCTGAGGTTTGCAGGGTGGAAAGCATGGCCGGAAGCGGGTGAAAGGCTTCACAGATGACTTTGAAAACGAAAAGTATTTGAGCCAGCGGAGGTGCGAGCCCCGTGAGAGCCATTTGCATCCTGACAAGCCTCTCGGACGCGCGCAGCATATATAGCAGACCTTCCAGAGCAACAAAAACAAGATAAAACAAAGCGCAAAGCAGAACATCAGCTTTCATACCGTTCAACAAGTCCGTTTTTTCCCGAATGCGTAGTGAAGGGTTCTCGTTTAACTTAGCGGGTCTGGGGGTATAGAGTCTTGTTCGAGACGCGTTGTCGCAGCGTTCGCAACCGTTTGCAATCGACCGCAACCGTTCGCGGTTGGGTCGCTATGGCGCTGGCAGTGGGGAGGAGGTTTTGGATGGAAGCATGACGGGTCAGATTCGTGTGTGAAATAGCGCAGAAATGTAAGGATGATATTGCTGCGCAGGTGCAAGCAACGTTTTGTGAGTGAAATCCTCAGTTGCCATATGAGTCAGAGACAAAACTATGTCACTGGGGTGTGTCACGCAGCTAGTGGTTTTCATGTGTTCCTTGCAAAGCGACAGCGGAGGTCCTAAAAACGATACCTCTAAGACTTGCAACGCGCCGAGTGAGATGGAAAGATCCTTAGAGAGCTGTCACAGCTTGGAGCCGTTTTGGCCTGGGGGTCTACTCAGCGGGCAGAGGTCGGGGAAGAGCGCGGATCCTTGCTTCCGTGCGTGGGCGGTTTGAACGATGCCCCAATGATACCCCGACCATACCTCGCAAGGTATGTTTTTTGAGCCACACGACAAGACCCCCACCTGTACAGTTGGTCTGCTGCTGGCTGTCTGGCTTTGCTGGTGCTGGCTGGCTTTGCTGCTGCTGGCTGTCTGCTTGCTGCTGCCTGCTGCTGCTTGCTTCTGCTTGCTGCTCTGCTGCTGCTGCTCCTGGCTTGCGGGTGTTGCTGCTTCTGGCTTGCGGGTCTGCGCTGCTGCTGCTGCTGCTGCTTTTGCTGGTGCTGGCTGCCTGCTTGTTGGTGCTTGCTGCTCTGCTGCCTTGCTGCTGCTATTGCTGCCTGCTGCTGTGTTGCTGCTTCTGGTTTGGTGGTTTGCTGCTGGCTTGCTGCTGCTACCCACCCGTCATTGCTGACCAACGGTTCGTCAACCTCAAGTTGCATTCCCTGCTTGGGATGCCAATACATCGTGGAAAGACCGAAACCCTGAAAAACGATCGGGGACGTCCTAACTTGTCCACGCAAACACCATGAACAAGTAGTTGTGGCACCACCACTATGACAGTGAGATTGGCGTTCGCAAGGTGGTCTGTTGGAGGTGTTGGATGTCGTTGCGACAGCGGTATTTGCATTTCAGACTGTTGCCTCGAGGCTGTGTTTTCATGAGAAGGCTCGGCTAAAACTGCGATTTTGGTGGATGCGAGCGTGGTCAGAAAGTGTCGAAGCCATTCCAAATTGTGTGGTGTGTTGTGGTGCAAGCAGAAGGCATGAAGATGTCATCACTTTTCGTCGCGCTGTCGAAATCGGATTTTCATGGTGTTTTGTGCGCAGAACGCGCCCGCATTCTCTCTCCCCTCTGATCCTAGTCGCCATGGCTGGATCTGGCCAGCCTGCCGAGATGTTTGAATGGGACCTCCTTGACGGAGCAGAGACGGTGACCTTGGTTACTTTGTTGGCGTCGGCTGATCGTGCGGTGACCACTGGGCACGACGAGGGATCCGGGTATACGCTGGAGTGGACACATTTTGCCCTTTCAGTGTGGGGCCGGGCGCAATGGCAGCTGGACCAAATCCCTTGCAGGACTGGTTGGTACCGGTGGTTTGATGGTGCCGCCCAGCCCCCAGTGTTTTGTCATGGCTGAGAAGGCCGCCAATTGGGTACTCAGGATCACGTTTGTTTTTTTGGTCTTGATGCTCAAAGAAGCAAGAGTGCCCCGCAAGGGTGTCCCACACGGTGTGCGACGAGAGTGTCCTACAAGAGTGTCCTGCAAGAGTGTCCCACAAGAGTAGTGTCCCAAAATGGTTTCCATGAGAGTGTCTTACAAGGGTGTCCCACAATAGTGTCTTGCGAAATTGTCCCACAAGAATGAGGGTCGCACAGGGGCTTTGCAGGAGAGTTTCCAAAAAAAATTGCACGAGAGAGACCACAAGAGTTTTCTACAAGAGTGTCCCACAAGAGTACCGCCTACAGGATCCTACAAGAATGTTTTACCACAGTGTCCCAATGTTTGGCTGTTTGTTTTCGAATGCGTGTGTGCATTCGGGTTCGCGGTATGAATCCCAGTGAGGTATTTCAAATTTATGTTGGGGTATGGGGCGGGAGGAGGGGATTGGAGAGGCGCTCGATGTGGGTTGGTGTGGGTAGTTTTGTTGTTTTCGCACCAAAACATGTCAACAATTGTGAATTGTTTGTTTGCGAGCCACACTTTGCATCCTGCTGCTAGTTCTTTTTCATGGAGAATGATTAACAAATCAACCGGCAAACAGGCAGGCATGATATATCATAGGCTAGGGCTAGTAGGGTAGGGTGTATTTTTCAGTTCATGAGTCCGCTTTGTAACTGTATTTTGACTGTAAGCAAAGCAAACTATAAACCAAACTGGGACTGACCAAACCAAACCATCCATCACAGATCACTGACCTAAATTACCAACCTGATGCAGATGATGCTAACACACATGGGTGCGTTGCTAGATTTGGCAACAATGACAAGCGCGCAGAATTGATCTTACTGCGCAAGAGTGCAGGGAAGTTGCACGCACTGTTCAGGGGTCAGTTCTCATGGGCCGTAGCTTCTGGCGTGGGGATGCGAGGGCGAAGGTCCTGGTCGAAGTTGCCAAGAGTGGATGCTAGCGCATTCAGGTCATTGATAGAACCTTGTCCTGTTCAGAGTCCAGAGGCAGTCTTTTTGAAACAGGTTTTCGCTGGTTTCCGCGTGGGTTAAACTGGGAGACTTTTTTGATTGAACTTGCAGGAGAATGGTTCGCTCACCGTTGAGGGCACAACTTGGGATGCGCTAGAAGAAAGCTTCGGACAGATTGAGTGGGAAGAAGAACTTTGGCTCAAAATAATATCAGATTTGGCAGCAACAGATTTGGATTTTGATACGGACACGGTCACGGGCCTGGTGTGGTTGCCAAACATTTCCACAAGTGGGGCCGGGCCTGGGCCCGGGGACATTTAGTTAGTAGTGTAGTGTAGACTGTGTAGACGTAGACATCTTGAAACATAGTCACAGTCTCACAGTATGTCCAGTCTGATGAGTCTGATGTCCTATATTAAAAGTAAGGGTCAAACTTTGATCCGTCAGCCTGCCAAGGTGATGATGTTGGTTTTGGCTTCAGAAACCAAGAGCGCAGACATTGTTCTGCAAACGCAGAAGGGAAAGGCTGGGACATCAAGCATTGTGGCGGCTGCATCGCGAGAAAACGTTTGCAGATGAAACTCCGCCGCCGCCACCGCCGAATCAGCCTGCCTCATCAGAAATCGATCTACTGTAACCCTGAAAGCAATGGTGCAGTTGTTGGAGGAGGGGCATACAGACCAGTTGCCAGACAAGATCACTGAACTAAGGTCTATGCTCCGGGTTACAAACAGATGCAAACCACGGATGTCCATGGCCAAAGGCGCCTCTGTCAGAGTTGGTGGGGTCCAGTACACTTCTGAGTGCATGCTCAGTGCAGTGCTTCTGGCAGACAATTTGAAGCCGCTGGACAACGAGAAAGATTTGCTACCTGAGGTCTTTCAACAGTACCTTTGCAGTTAGAAGTTGTCAATCTGTTTAGTTGAGTTGATCTGCTTTTGGGCGGTGATTGCCAGTGGTACTCTGTGTCTAAAAGTTTTAAACAAGTTTAGGTTTGGTTTGATTGTTGTTTCCAAATTCCCACAAAAGGTTTTTGAACATGACAAATTTGCATCTGGTTTCACTGGGGAATCCATTGTCAGGTTCAGTTCAACGGAGATCCAAACACGTCTTGTCCCACTACAGATACTGGGGAAAGCTGCAACAAACACAGCTTACAAGGCTCGATCAACTCTCCGCATGTTATCTCTGGAATCCAGCGTTGATTTGGCACGGGGGGAGAGTTCGGTCAATACTATCAGACTTTGGCGTAGAATGTTCTTTATGGACACTCCCTGACATTACTTCTCCTGGGGCAAATGGGCGCAAGTGCTTCGAGCAGTCAATGCCTTTGGCAGATATTGACCACATGATGCATCATGTTATGTTGGAAGGCCAAGACGGTTTTGCCGTCAACAACCCTTTGTGGGAGGAGTTTCATCACCAAATTGGAGGAATGTCCAAGTTTTTCTCCAAGAAAGATCATGTCGAGTTGTACATCAAGAAGCAGGTCAATGAGAACAGCAGGATTCCGGACTATGCCAAACGTGCAGTGGCACAAATTCAACACTACCTGCCCAACCTTTTGCCCGACTCGATGGCACTTCAGCTTCGAAGTGCTTCATTGGGTGTCCAAAAGTTTCAAAAGACGTGACCTCATTCAATATTTGGAGCCCATTAGTGGGGACGATTTCTCGAATCAAGAGCGAGAACCCTTCATCTAGGTGCAAGCGAACAGTCCCGCATCAAATTTTGGGCAGTCTTCTGGGCTTTCTATGTTCTACAATGCTGGTGATTTGAGGTATACACCTTTGTTCATGATTGCCCTTGCCCAGAGAACCAAGGACTTTCTGCTGCGAGGAAAAGAGAGGTCCTTCATCACAAGCCTTGCAAGGTGAATGGATGCCGCGTGATCGAATTTGCTTGTGGAGCTTGTTCTGAATTCCGGGGTAGACTGACAAAGCTTTGCGTTCAGGGCCATTACGAGGCAGCAGCTGCTTTTCAGAAGCTAGAAGAACTTGACTATGAGGCTGCCCAAGCACTCGCAAGAAGCTTTGAAATGAGCAAGGCAGCCATGCTGCTACGCTTCACACAGGGATCCAAGTTCTATGAGCAGTACCCCTGGAACCTCCCCAAACTTCTGGAGTTCATTTTGACTGCAGACAATGTCAGAAGTGCTGCTGTTGAAAGAAGCCGTCACTTTGCTGGTCAGCTTGTGGAATGGAAAGAAAACAATGCTTTGCCCAAAGATACGTTTGGAGACTGTGTGC